TATTCATTCATTCATTTATTCATTCATTCATTCATTTATTCATTCGTTCATTCATTTATTCATTCGTTCATTCATTTATTCATTCATTTAATCATTCATTTATTCATTCATTCAATCATTCATTCATTCATTCATTCATTTATTTATTCATTCATTCATTTATTCATTCATTCATTCATTCATTTATTCATTCATTCATTCATTTATTCATTCATTTATTCATTCATTCATTTATTCATTCATTTATTCATTAATTCATTCATTCATTCATTTATTCATTCATTCATTCATTCATTTACTTTCAACTTAGGCTCTTATTAATTAGGGGTTGCCACTGCAGAATGAACCGCCAACTTATCCACCATTTGTTTTACGCAGCGGATGCCCTTACAGCTGCAACCCAACACTGGGAAACACCCACACACACACACACACACACTCATACACTACAGCCAGTGTAGTTGATCAGTTCCCCTGTAGTTCATGTGTTTGGACTGTGGGGGAAACTGGAGCACCCGGAGGAAACCAACGTCAACACAGGGAGAACATGCAAACTCCACACAGAAGGTGGACATTCTCATAATTGTGTATGTGATAAGGTCATCATTTCTTGACTTTTTTTACAAAATGGTTTGATTTATTTCATCATTTATAAAGCGAGTCACTTTTTGACAGAGCACAAGCTGCTGCCTCCCATAACAATGCAAGAGTTTCTTTAAAAGCTGTCTTGTGTTGCCAAAAATGATGGTTCCATGATGTCTGAAATAGCCAAGTCAAGAGAAAGAGACTGGACTGAAGTTTATTAGGCTGAGCTCTGAGGAGAGTTCCTCCAGTGTGCGCAAATGAACAGCGGATCTCTGCTGGTGTCTCTAGTGAGCAGAGCACGTGCTTATAAATAGATAATCAGAGCCAGAAATAACTCAACCTGCTGGAGATTCCCTCAGACACAGATGCTGCGCCTCAATACACCCTAAATAGTGTGTATTTACAGGTGTAACGGGACACGGTTAATCTACATGAACGGAAACACAAGACTTGCAGATTAATACCAAGCAGCAACCTCGCGCTCTCCCTCGTGAAGCAAATATGGAAGTAAGCTGAAATTGCGCTAGTCCTGGCTTCATAATAGAGCAGATTTCTATTGAGCCCACTGTTGAACTGGCCAACAGAAAACAACTGTTTACAGCCTGCTACGAAGAGCCATTTTGGTTCATATAGCTAATATCACCCTTCAAGACAACTGTGAGGGGGGAATATATATATCTCATCCGTTTCCTTTATATGAAGTCCGCATAATTAAGGGCGTGGCCACTTGAGTGACAGCTAGGTCTTACTGCTTGCTGTCTCGTAACCTCAGCTGATTCCGGCTGATCAGCTGCTGAACTCGGCATATACATCACATTTTTGTTTTGTTTTGTTTCTTTAGACAGTCAGCTGCTTTTTAGGATTTTATTTCCTACAATTATCAGATGATAGAGCATGCTGTGTGCTATTAATTGTGATCACAAACCATTCACGTGTCCTGCATTGCTATATACTTCTTTACCTTCTCTATAAATGTGTTTGCTTTGTTTAGGATCATTTATCATTTAGGGCTGTAATGCGCTCCAGAATCTGCCAGATTGATGAGATGTAGGCTCTAGATCAGTCGTACAGTGTTCTGCTGGAGTTCATCAGGGTATATGCTGAAGCATGCTAATAGGACTTTTAATTTGCCAGTAATCTGGGTTAAGCATTTTCTGGTGAACTGTATGCCAATGCAAATTTGGCGCATTTAAGGTCTGTTTTTTTTAAAAATCAGCGATCTCCACTGGCTGAGTGATATCTGATATAAAGTGGGTGTCAGATTGTACAAGAAGCACTGCATTACATTACATCCCCCCCCGCCATGTCTTTATAATATGAGCATTTATTTTACCCTGGTATATTCAGTGGAGCTTCTGCGCTATCCTGCCGATTCTGACGGGCCCGTGCGAGTAAACGGCTTTTTGTCTTATTTTATGCTTGAGCAACTAATTAAATGCTAAAGTTTATTTAACTGAATGTATTTTAATGACATTACAACATCCATGCTGTAAAAGGAACCATATAAAATGGAGAAAAAACTCACAATAACAGCTCAGCGGAAGTGCATCAGTATGGGAAACACTCTAGCTCGGCTTATACCCTATAGTCCTGCATTCCCTAACACACACTATATCTGAAGTGTAATTTGTGCTTCCTCCTTTAGGAAAACATGTTTAGTGGCTCAGTGTGTTACAGGAGTGTTTTTAAAAGTCTAAACACTTTATTGATATAGTGTACAGCCGAGCACATGTGGTCAGAACACAAACGAGTCGCAGCTAATGAAGTATTCAGCGTTTCCCCATAGTAAAGTCTGTCTCAGCAAAATGCCAGCAGGCATCTGTAGCTCCGCCTCTTTGACCTTATTTGGTAACCCCTGGTTGGAGCGATGATGTGCGACATTTGGCCACGCCCTCTCGCAGCTTCATATGCGCTGCTCAGAAACCAATGGGTGACGTCACACACCCCACGTCCATGTCTTCTACAGTCTATGGTTTTCTTCAATAAAAACGGTGTATACTTTAAGATGTCGTGTAAGTGGGTGAACTGGGATCGGTGTGTGCCGAAACTCACTTTGTCGGGGTGTTTCTGCAGCAGCTCACGAACTTTGGCAGCGCTACCGTGAGCCGCTTCGATGACCAGCCGGCCCGGGTTATCCTGCTCTGTAGACTGGGACAACAGCTTCTCCAGCACCGAGATCACTGTACCTGAAACAGAATCAAATGAGTCAGAAATGATGAGACACGTGCAGAACTACAGGACTGATGGCATTACATAATTAAACTGTGTTTTGACTTAATATATGTGTACTGAGCACATTTATTATGCACATATAAATACACACATGCATGAACATATACAGGAAAATGTTTATTTATATTGAAGTATATATATATATATATATATATATATATATATATATATATATATCGGAGGCGGCACGGTGGCTCAGTGGTGTCGCAATGTGGCCTCACAGCAAAAAAAGTAGTTGGTTTTGAGTCTCGGCTGGGTCAGTTGGTGTTTCAGTTCTGGTGTGTTCTGAGTTTGCATGTTCTCCCTGTGTTGGTGTGGGTTTCCTCCGGGTGCTCCGGTTTCCCCCACAGTCCAAACACATGCGCTAGAGGGGAACTGATCAACTACACTGGCCATAGTGTATGAGTGTGTATGGGTGTTTCCCAGTACTGGGTTGCAGCTGCAAGAGCATCCGTTGTGTAAAACAGATGCTGGAATAGTTGGTGGTTCATTCCACTGTGGTGACCCCTGATGAATAAGGGACTAAGCTGAAGGAAAATAAATAAATAAAT